TTCTACACTTGGTGATAATTCAGCTTCTGTTGAAATCCAAACAGTGAGCATTCCGGGGACGTTGATTCACCTCTGTTAAATAGTCTCTAAACATGGGAGCTGCTTGCTGTCTATTCCTGACAATAGTTTTCACATAGGGAGAACTGTATTTTTAATATAACGCTACTTTTAAGGAGAATTCTTTTAAAATTTAGCAGAAGCAGAATGTTGATATTTGAACATTTATCTTGCACTTTGGAAATCAAGTGTCATATTGGTGAGTGTTCCCATTGCTTTTAGTAAACGCTGTGCCACAAATCATTTTGTTATTTACGATAAGTCAACTGTCGTAGACGACAGGTATTGCACTGTCTCAGCTTGAAAGATTGAAGGGCACTTGGTGAAGGAGGGGCAGTAGTGGTTTTAGTAGTCGTCGTCTTTGTTTCTTTTTTTATGGATGGAAAAGCTAAGACTATTATTAGGTCTGTTTCCTAATATCTAATAGTTTTGAGAATTCCAGGTAAAAATAAGAAATACAAGTAAAACTTTAAAAATAAGAATAAAAAAGAAGACAGTAGAGAAAATATATTCCTAGTAATCCAGCTCTCTCCTGGTCTACAGGTGGAGAACAAATGACTTTCCAGCTAGTGAATGACTGTGAGTCAAGATCAGGCAGACACGTGGGTTTCAGAGAGCCAAGGAGCACTTGAGTTTCTTTAGTAATTGTGTATTCAGAGCCTGCCGTATGGGGTGGGGTTGGGATATGATGTGGAAAGTGCAATAGTGGAAACGACTGACTTTCCTTAGGGAGAGTGTTATGTTGGAGAACTCTCTCCTGAGCGCTGGGACAGGTGGCAGCCTCTCTCCTGGAGGGGCAGGTGAAGTCCTTAGCTTGAGTTTTTGGCTGTGTGGTACACACAACAGACATCTTTTGTGTGGGATTTGTCTCAGGGTAATCTAGTGCGGTGGGGGTGGGGGGAGGGGGTGCAAGGTGAAACAAGGCAGGCTGTGGATTGGTCGTCGTTGGACCCATGTGATGGGCACATCAAGGGCTCATTATAGTATTCCTTCTACTTTTGTATATGTTTGTAATTTTCCACAACAAAAGGTAAAACAAACACAAACTCGGCATCTGTGAACCTAGAGTTACGTTCAGAGTGGTGAGATGTGAGGCACCCTGTGAGTCACGTGGGGGCAGATGCTCTCTCATCGCTTGTGCTCTGGGCCACAAGGAAAATCGCCAGTGCTACCAAATCACGTCCACGTTCATTCTCTCCCCTCCCCTGGCTTATTTGGTTGGAGTCACAGTAAGTTAACTGCTGATATGATGGTGTTTCACCCTGTTGTTCCCGGCCCTGAGCCGTACAAGACACAGTCATTTTCTTCTGAGACCCCACAACTGGGAAGAGAAGACGACCCCAGGGAAATCATGGAATACAGACCCATTAGGATGTTTCCATACCCCCGAGTGGGGTATGAAATACGTTTTTGCAAAGGTGAGGGGTGAGGCCACCACGGGGAGCTGGAGGAGGGCCTGGTGGCCGAGCTTTGTCTGGAGTGGCAGAATTGGAGACTTTAGTGGAGCCCCGTCCTCTGCGGGGAGGCGGATGGTGCCTTTTGAGGAGCCGGGGCGTTTGGAGTCAGATGGACAGGCAGTCCCCTCTCTCCTCCGTGTGACAGCTGCCTCCTGGCAAGATGGGGACAGTAGAATTAGTGGGAACATGTATGCAGAGTGTTGTAAGTTGCCCGACAGTTGTGGGCTGGGGTCAAGGACAGCTCTTAGTGGTTTAAAGTCAGCCTAGGAATCGTTAAGGCGGTGAGTTCAGTCAAGTCAAACAGACCTGGATTCAGATCCCAGCTCTGCCGCTTCGTAGCTCCGAGACTCTGGGCACGTTGCCAGCCATTTAGCGTGTGTTCTGACGCATGAAGTGGCGATGGTGACACGTGCCTGAGACGGTGGTGTTAGAGGAGTCAGTGGGACAGCGCCCACAGAGCGCTGCCCGCAGCCCTGGGGCACCGGCACCCGGTCCCGGAGCAGCTCTGCTTTCTCTTCCAGTGCTGCGGGACCCTGGAGAAGACGGGCGGGGTGTTTGTGGCTTTGCCTTCACATTAGTTTCTGTTGCCTGTTAGCTGATTGCTGCTGTAAGTGCTGCTTTGCTGAGAACTAAGGGCATGGACTGGAAATGATTTTAGATGCCTTTTTTGGTTTATGTGCCCCTGTGAGAATCAAGCCCCTCATGAAACACGCACAGGCAGTTATCCTTAGAGCCCCATCTCTGAAGGAGGTGGGACAAGTGTCGTCTCCCTTCCCAGACCGGGAGACAGATCCAGAGAAGTTAATGGACTGTTGGTAAGCAGGTTAGAATCCAGATCTTTGATCCCGATACAGCGTTCTTCCTTCCAGATGACACTTTTCATGCTGAATGAGTTCAAGGATAAACGGCCTGATTCATCAGCACAGTTGATTAGAGAAAGGATAGTGCCAGTGTGCTTCGGTTCTCACTGGTGCACTAGTGTCCTCAGGCTGTGGTAGCAAAGCACCACACACCGGGCGGTGTGAAACAGCAGGAGTGTGCTGAGGTCAGAAGTCCGAAATCCAGGGGCCGGCAGGGCTGCTCCCTCTGAGGCCTGCCGGGCGAGTCCTTCCCGCCTCTCTGTCCTCTAGTGGTGGCTGGCATGGCCGGCAGTCCTTGGTGTCCCTGGGCTCGTGGATGCATCATTGCAGTCTCTGCCTCTGCCCTCCCCCGTCACACAGCCATCTTCCTCGTGTGTTCTCTCTTATAAGGGCATGCGTCATGTTGGGTTAAGGGCCCACCCTGCTCCAGCATGGCCTCATCTTAACTAATTATGTCTGCACAGACTCTTCCCAAATATGGCTCACATGCGGAGGTACTGGGGGTTAGGCCTTTAACGTCTGTTTTTGGGGGACACAGTTCAACCCATAATACTTGTCCTGTTAACATAGCGCAAATAAAACGTTCTCAGTAGCAGTGCTGCAGAATTCCAGGCCTTCTTCTCAACAGCTGGTGTCATGTGAGAGCAGGGTGGTGGCACTGCTGGGAAAATCACTCAGCACGGTGCCCTGGGAGTCAGTGTGGAGAGCGTGCAATGCACATCCCTGGGGAGTGCGGTCCCTCCCTGCCTTCAGCTCCACAGGGGCCTCCAGTAATCCTGAGGGAGATTACAGGGTGCTGGTGGATGAAGGAGTCGGTGCATCCTTCTCACAGAAGCCCCTACGTAAGGAGGCTCCTCCTTCCCTAGCCTACACAAACATGATTCTTCCCCCTTCACTCTAACTGAAGGGTCTTATCTGTGCCCAGAAGAGGCCCCCCCGCCCTGAGGTGACGTTGAGAGACTTCCTTAGGGTGGGGAGAGATTATTAATTTTTAGGCCACATCACTTTGCTTTAGTGAGGGCCCTGGATGGTACAGAGGGAGCGTTGTGTATTCTTAACACATTTATTAAATTTTGCAGATTTTTGTTAGCTAAATTTTAGTAGAATTTTGTTTTCAAATTATTCCTGGCTTGTAGATCAGTAAAGCTACACTTCAGACTCTCAGAGGGTGAAGACTTCGATTTTCCTCAGGGTTATGAGAATTCCTGAATTCATTGCCCCCTCAGTGTGGCAGGGTGGGGGTTGAGCTGACTCATCCCTGTGTCCTTAGGGAGACGGTTCAGAACAGTTCCCTGCACTGTGCGTTCCTGCAGGTTTTCTGCTCTTTTTCTCTCGAATCCCACAGACCTGTCTAACGGATGCTGCATCACCCGTCTTTTTTTTTTTTTTTCCGAGGAAGATGGGCCCTGAGCTAACATCTGCCAATCCTCCTCTTTTTTTGCTGAGGAAGACTGGCCCTGGGCTAACATCCGTGCCCATCTTCCTCCACTTTATGTGGGACGCTGCCACAGCATGGCCTGACAAGCAGTGCGTTGATGCACACTCAGGATCCCGAACCGGCGAACCCCGGGCCGCCGCAGCGGAGCGTGCGCACTTAACTGCTTGCGCCACCAGGCCGGCCCCCGCATCACCCGTCTTTGATAAACATCACTTATTCAGATGTTGGTTCCCTGGGTCTGATGTCACTGTCTCCTCTCCCTAGTAGCTGCAGACAGAAGTCACATTCTTCCTAATATCCGATTTCACTGCTGGATTATTCTGCCTTCCTAGGAGGGTGGTTCTTCAAGTCGGTTGCTGGACCAGCAGCACCTGGAACTTGTTAGCATGTAGCAACATTCTAGAATGTTCAAGAATGCGTAGAATGCCCCACCCCAGACCTGGTGAGTCAGAGACCCAGCCCTCCAGATGATTCTGATGAAACTCAAGGTTGAGAACCATTGCCTGGAATATCTCCTAATTTATTCTTTGATGTTATTTTAAACTGAAGTACCTGATTTCTAAACTGTACTGTCATTCTGGCTCTTCCCAGTGATCATCGTAGTTGCTCTCTTCCTCAGTTTTACTCACTAAGATCTTCTTTACCAAGGCTTTCCTTATTAAAGCGTTTATTGATGATTAGTGTGGCCATGACCAGGAGTTATTCACTTAGGAAAAATGACGAACGCCGGCTCATACATGTGAAAGTTCCTTGAAAATTATTACGCACTCTAGAAAAGTTAATTCGTGGTGTCAGTATCTCTAATCTTTGTAGAAAATATGCAATACAAGCAGTTTCACTTCTCGAAGATAAAACCAGCTGGTGTTACATTGACTGACTGGGTGAAAATGAATGCTTCTATAGTGCTCGGTTCTGAGAAATCCAGCGTTGTTTCTGAAGAAGTGGCTCACCCTCCCCAGGCCCTCCCGCTTCCCCGCCCTGCTGTAACTGTCGACTGTCACGTTGACAATGTTGCAAATTGAATGTCACCCTCTCTGGGTGCCCTGCTGACTTGTGACAGTTGGTGCTCTAGTGACCTGAGATCTTGTAGGTTCCTGAATTGCTTTTTTCATTCAAGTCATTGTTTATGCCTACGTGAAAATTTTTTAAATCTGAATTTTACATTTTATATTTTCCATTTTAGTGTAGGAAAAACGATGATGGGGACACAACTGTTGTTGTTGAAAAGGACCATTTTATGGATGATTTCTTCCATCAGGTAAGATGGAACCCAGTTGGACTTTTTTCTTTAAACACAGTTATATTAATGGATTTGTCATATTTGAAATAATATTAAAACTAATATTTTAGAAAGTTGCTTTTTGAATTAAGTTCTTTAGAATTTTTAGTGCTATTAAATATTCATTAATATTGAGCCATCCTTCCCGATAGACTTGGGGGGGCTGGGTGAGAATGGTGGAACGTGGATATGGAGGAGACACGTGCACTCGGGTTGGGTGGCACGTGGCAGGGCGGTTCTGCCTGCTCAGGCGCTCAGACTGCTCTCAGTGACTTTCGCCTGGGTATGTAGATGCACTTCCTCCCAGGTGCCGGTCACTCTGGGACCTCCTGCCCCCTCTGGTAGATTTTGTAAACGTTCTGCCCCCACGACCAGTGGTGTTCTCCAGCTGAGGGCGGCGTGGTCCTCGGGAGGGTGGAGGTCCTGGTGGCTGTGGTGCCCCAGCAGATGGGTCTGCTGAGTCAGGTGTGCACAGCACACGCACGCCCACGCTTCTCGTGCTTCACCTCCACGGCCCAGGACTGAGTCCCCAGGTATCGGTCACATATCTCAAAGGGCTCATGTTGTAGATTTTCTCAAATCTCTGATTGAAGTTTTCCGCATTTCAGACTCTCAGGCTCTAGGTCCCGAGGGGCTCTTCTCTGGGCAGTCTTAGACACAAGCAGATGGGTAATGGGGGAAGCTCTGCTTTGCCGGCCTGCCGGTCAGTTGGGCCTTCCTCTGGGGTCTCAGCACAGGGGCCGCCGCCTCTGGGCCTGTGCCCCTTGGCTCTGACCCTGTACCTTGTCCATTCCCTCAGGCTGCCCCACAAGGCCTCCCCTCTCTCTCTTAGCTCCCAAAGAGAGTTTTAGGCTTACCCCATGTTTAAATTCTTAAACCTGAGTAATATTTGATCAAATTTTGCATAATTTTAAATTTTTGAAATTGTTACAGAACAAATATTTTGACTTTGTTAACCTGAAGAAAAGAAACATGTGTCCAGGGTAATTTTTTAATGGTGCAAACCTCATGTGCAGGATTTTATTTTGATTGTGCTGAATCTAGGCTAGTAGTTTCAGCTGGCCCTTAAATCCATTGACAGTCTAAACAGGTCCATCAATGCATGGATTTGGAAATATGTAATATGTTAATGAAATATATTACAAGTTACAGTTTTCCAAATTCAGCCAGAATTTATTGAATACCTAGTCAGTGGGTTTCAAGTATTTATGTTAGATCCTAGTTTTATGTATTGGAAAAGACATGAAATTAAATTGTAAGATACAGGAACTTGCTTTCAGGTACAAAGGAGTTAGGATACTAGATTTCCTGATTTCACTTTGGAAATGAGACTCTTTTTGTTGTCTTTAGCTTACTTACCCACTTTGTAAAATCCTTATTTTTCTGATTTTATCTCCTTTACCTGGATGTTTAATTCTTCCATATCAGTTCTTTGTAAAAATATATTTCTTATTTTAAAGAATTTCCTAGCGTTAAATGTTGTTGTTATACTTGATAGAGGAATTACGTAGAACACATCACTGAATGTCTGAAGCTGTGGTCTTTGTTAACCTGGTACTAATCCATTTCAGCTGTGGGTCCCTTGGAGATGCATGCAAAAACAGGTGACTCGTGCTGGGACGGTTTGAGAGCAATTGATTCTCAAGTTTGGGTTTTCCTTAGTTATAGTTAATGTCTGTGAAATGACTTTTTAGACAAATAGAGAAGCAAATGATGATTGTTAACACAAACTCAGTTTTAGAAAATGACATTCAGACCTTAAATACCACGAAGAACATCGCAGAAGATAGGAATTTTGCAGGTGACCAGTGTCTGGTCAAGACTAAGAGACTGCTCTAACGGTGGCCGGGGCTCTCCTCTTGGTGAGGATGATGTGTAAGGGACAGAGAGACCCTGTATCGTGTCATTCACAGGCCTAAATGGGAGTGGCACCACTGTGACCACGGCACTTCCCTCCTGGTACCGAGTGGGGGCCTAACAGTTTCCTTTGCTTTTGGGGCCACACTGGGGCTTCTGCTACAGAGATATTGGTGGTATACATTGTTGAATCTGCAAGAGTTAAAACAATATCTTTTCTAGTTTGTGACAGATGTGTATTGCTGAAGTTACTTCAGCAACGGTACTTTAAAGATGGCTAATTGAAATGTAGATCTGTGCACTGAAACCAAAATGTCCAGACTTGAGTTCAAGCCTTCATAATAAAATAGCAAAAATTTTAAAAGAATCAGTTTTTCTTTTATGTGTTGTTTTTACACGATTAATAAAATTAAATTATAAGTGTGTGAAGTGTGTGAAGTTGTATAGAAACTGTATGTAAATGGAAATAGCAGCCAGGCCTCAGGAAAGAGCTGTTCACTGCTCTGTGCAAGCAGAGTTCTGCATTAGCCTCTCCTCTGATGCTGCGGTTTTCAAAATGTGGTCTGGGGCTTGGACCCGGGGTCCCTCGGGTCCCTGAGACCCGTTCAAGGAGTTCATGTGGTCAAAACTGTTTTCATAACAGTTCCAAGATGTGGCTTGCCTTTTTCCTCTCTTTCTCTCATAATGTCCAATGGTGGATTTCCAGAGGCTACATGAAGTGTGTGATATGGCAACAGACCACACACGGAAGCAGGTGTCAGAATCAAGCTGCCTTCCATTAAGGTAGAAATTAGATTTGCAGAAAGATGTAAATCACAGCTCTTATTTTCACTGATTTTTTGGAAAATATTGTTTTTTCCATAAAAATGTGTTATTTATGTTAACATGTGTATTAGTTTCCTACTGCTGCTGTAACAAATTACTACAAAGCTCATGATGTAACATATCACGCCTTTCTCATCTTATGGTCCCAGAGCTCAGCAGTTTGAAAGGGCCGTGCAGGCTCCTGTCACGGTGAGGGCAGGGCTGGCTCCTTCTGGAGGCTCCAGGGAGAACCGTGTCCCCACCTTTTCCAGCTGCTAGAGGTGCCTTCAGTCTTGGCTCACAGCCCCTTCCTCTACCTTGAAGCACATCACTTCAGCCTCTGCTTCTGTTATCATATCTCCTTTTTCTAAATTTGGTCCTCTTGCCTCTGTTTTATAAGGACTCTTGTGGTTACATTGGAGCAACCCAGATAATCCAGGGTAATCTCCTATCTCAAGATTCTTAATCAAATCTGTAAAGTCTCCTTTGCCACGTAAGGTAACATTCACAGGATTAGAATGTGAACATCTACCACAACGTGTAGTGAATTTGTAATTACTGTTTTAAAGTGAATTAATAAATATTTAAGCAATTTCTCCAACACAGTAATTATAGCTAGCTATACCCCACGTGAACCAAAGTTCTTTGGGGTTGTCAATAACTTTCAAGAATCAAAGAGATCCTGAGACCCAGAAATTTGAGAGCTGCTGCTCTAGGACATGGGGTTCTTGACTCGTAACGTTTTTATCTATTTCTTGACTAGGGCATACGTTCACGTTTTTCAGAAATCAAAGTGATACGAAAGCTGTGCAGACACTGAGAAGCCTTGCTCCCACTGCTGTTTTCATCTGCCCTCTTCTCTCACCTCTCCCACTCGATGGTGACTTCTCTTTTTAGTTTCTTGTTAGACATTCCGGTGTTTCTTGCAAGATCAGATGAGATCGGCTGTGTTCAGGACAGAATGGCTGTAGACTCCAGCGTTTCTTTTTTTTTTTTTTGTGAGGAAGATCAGCCCTGAGCTAACATCCACGCTAATCCTCCTTTTTTTGCTGAGGAAGACTGGCTCTGAGCTAACATCTGTTGCCAATTCTCCTCCTTTTTTTTTTTCCCCCCAAAGCCCCAGTAGATAGTTGTAGGTCATAGCTGCACATCCTTCTAGTTGCTGTATGTGGGACGCGGCCTCAGCATGGCCGGAGAAGTGGTGCATTGGTGTGCGCCTGGGATCCGAACCCGGGCCGCCAGTAGTGGAGCGCGCGCACTTAACCGCTAAGCCACGGGGCAGGCCCCAGCGTCTACATTAAGTAGACGTTAATGTCTGTGCTTATTTTGACCTCTTTCTCACATCGTTGTTAACATGCTCTATACATTGTTCTCTGTGTGTGTGTGTGTGTTTTTTTTTGATTATTTGCTTTTACCCTAATATATCTGAGATCTTTTTGTGTCTTTTGTTATAGTTCCGTAACGTTCCGTCGTGTGGTCGTTCTGTTGTTTTCACCACATGTGAGAAGTAGAACAAGTCCCCTGTGACGGGCTGTGGGGTTTCCCTAACCTTGAAATAGAGAAGTTGTGCTAGTTTCCCAGGGCTGCTGTAACAAGTTACCACAAACTTAGTGGCTTAAATTAGCACAGATTTATTCTCTCAGAGTTTTGGAGGCCGAAGTCCAAATTGGTTTCTCTGGGATGAAGCCAGGGTGTCGGAGGGTCACACCCCCAGAGGCTCTAGGGGAGAGTCCTTGTCCCTGCCGGGTCCAGTCCTAGAGCTGCCCTCCTGGGCTCGGGGCTCTGTCCTCCATCTTCAAAGCCAGCTGTGTGGCATCTTGCATCAGTGGTCATGTTGCCCTCCTCTGTAGCCACATCTCCATCTGCTTCTCTCTGTAAGTACACTTGTGATTATGTTGAGGGCCCACCTGGAGTATCAGGATAATCCCGCATCTCAAGAGGCTTTGTTGAGTCACATCTGCAGTTTCCTTTCACCATAAAGGAACATTCATAGCTTCCAGGGATAGGAACCTGGCCATCGTTGGGGGACATTATTCAGCCTCCCACAGAGGTTGTTTTTTTTTTTTTGGTGAGGAAGATCAGCCCTGAGCTAACATCCATGGCAATCCTCCTCTTTTTACTGAGGAAGACCGGTGCGAAGCTAACATCTATTGCCAATCCTCCTCCTTTTCTTCCCTTTTTCTCCCCAAAGCCCCCGTAGATAGTTGCATGTCATAGTTGCACATCCTGCTAGTTGCTGTTTGTGGGACACGGCCTCAGCATGGTCGCACAAGCGGTGCGTTGGTGCGCACCCGGGATCCAAACCCAGGACGCCAGTAGTGGAGCACGCGCACTTAACTGCTAAGCCACGGGGCCAGCCCCCACAGAGGTTTTTGAAGATGATGTTATGAATCTATCTGGACAAATCTTCCTAATGAGTAAATTACATTTTGAAACAAGTATTGAATAGTTTAGACCATTACAGGTAAAAAATGGTGACTCGGAAGGCTTGGCCTTATCAACTGAAAACACCTCCCCCTACGAGAATGTTATTGTCAACGTGTTCTTCAGGGTGAGTTTTTGTGACTGCATGGAGTGCTGGTGTCAGTAGCATGTGCTTCTCGTGGGGATTGTCTGTGGTAATACTTGGGTCTCAATTGTAAATAAATAAATAATAGGTTTTGCTGGTGAGTGTTGACTGAAATTGCCTTAGTCAGAGAACTATATATCTTAATGTGTTACATTTCTCTTTATTGTTTAAATTGAATGATTCTCAGTGTGAGAACAGGAAAAGGTTTTTGTTTCTTTATGTGGTGATTATTCATTTATTTCCCTCTTTTATCCTTCCCTGTTTAGGTGATGAAAAGTGATAGCAAGTTTGAGTTTACCACACTGGTGATGACTTTTTATGTTTCTCCTAGGTTGAGGAGATCAGAAACAGTATAGCTAAAATAGCTCAGTATGTTGAAGACGTAAAGAAAAACCACAGCATCATTCTCTCTGCACCAAACCCAGAAGGAAGTAAGTGTGTCTGTCTGTCTGTGTGTGTGCCTCTCTCCTGCTGTCTGTAACTCAGGCCTCAGCCCTGGCTGCACAGGAGATCGCGCTGGGAGCTTGTGCAAAACACTGGAAGCTGGCGTGCCGCACCCCGGGGTTCCGGTGCATTTGGTCATGGGAGCCACGGCGTCCGTGTGGTTCTTTACAGCTCCAGTGTGATGCTGGTGCTCAGCCAGCGTGGGGACCACTGACGATCAGGTCCAAAAGAACGCCGAAGAGTGGCTTTGCAGAGCTTTGGGGCCATATCAGCAACTGGACCTTAGATCATGTTGTGTCCACAGTTCAACAGGAATGGTGGAATTTTGTGTTTAGATGAAAGTGAAGAAGAGATTGATTTGGAAAACAATACTTGTTTGAGCAGCTTTAAAGATGAACAGACTGAGAGGCGATTTTCAATCTTAAGCAAAAGCGTTTGTGTGGAACGTGCTCTTCTCGATGTCTGTCGAGGGCAACGTGTAAGCAAGTGATTGTAAATAACCCAAGTGTCAGGGCCTTGGTAGTTATAAGGAATGCTTCCCTGATCTGGAGTGGTAAGTTCTGAAAACTTTAAAGGTGAGATGGGTCTGGGTAAGCCAGAGATTGCAAATTGGAATCCAGACATCATTTTGGAGGAGAATTGATATCTTTACAATATTGAGGTTTTTAATCTATGAAAATGTTCTTTCCCTTTTCTACTTTAGATTTTCTTTGGTTTCTCTCAGTCATGTTCCGTAGGTTCAGTGTAGAGGTCTCACATATCTTTCATTATATTTATTACTAGGTAATTGATGTTTCTGCTGCTAATGTAAATAGTGTCTGCTGTAGATTTTTTCTGTTTGTTTATACGTCTAGAAATACAATGGATTTTTGTGTGTTGACTTTGTATCCCACTATCTTGCCTAGTTACTTATTCTAGTAATTTCTCCATAGATTCTTTTGGATTGTCTCTGCACCCAGTTATGTCGTCTTGAGTAATGACGGTTTTCCCTTTGTTCTTATGCTTTCTATTTGTAGTTGACTTATTTCGCTGACCTCCAGTACAGTGTTGAATAGAAGTGGTGATGGGCATGCTCTTATTCTCCATCTCGGAGGAAAGTGAAAGCAACTTTTTGTTAGAGGATTATTTGATATAGCCTTATATTGAAAAAATAATAACTTGGTATTAAATTGAAAAAAAACACATTTTTAATTTTAAGATTTTTGCATGTCTTGTAAAATCATGGTTTGAGCCTTTGTAGATGCCCTACCTTAGGATTTACAAGAGTGTGTCCCAAGATGTGTCCTGGGCACGGATCTCGTCAGTTGTCCTGTGAAACAAGAGCTGTGTGGCGTAGCCACATGCACTTAGGAGCCTCTTTACACCATGTCGCCCTCTTGGAAAGTCACAGTGTGCTTAGGGTAACGAAGGCTCTGAGAAGGCCTGCAGTAAAGAAGCCTGTTCAACTCCGCTTAGTGTAGCACCTCACAAATTCACTTGCCCACAGAACTTTCTATGTAACACTTGCTAACACGGTGCTTCATTCTTGGGGAAATTAAATTTGAGTAAATATTAATTTAAAAAATTTCTTTTAAGTAATTTACCTCCAGAAAACTTTTGCTGCCCAGTAACAGCAGATACAACTGTTGTTTGAATAAGTTGAGAACTCTCAGTGCTTCCCAGTAGCGCTTTGGGCTCTCAGTGAAACCATCGCATTCTGTCTTCTGTTTGTTTCACCACAGTGTGAACCAAAATGTAGGAAGCAGTATCCACCTGCTTACTTAGTTGGTCTTTAAAAAGAAAAACACAGTTACTCCTGCCCCGCGATCCTGGGCCCAGGGTGCTGCCTGTGGGTGGGCTGCTGTCCCCTCCCAGCCCTTCGCGCTGGCCGGTGGGGGTGGAGGGAGAAGGATGGGCAGGGTCGGCTCTCCGGCCCCCTGTGCCCTCCCCACCCAGGCTCCTGGCTGGGCGTGCAGAGAGGTTCCAGAGGACAGGGAGGTCCCTGGGACTGCTGCTGTCCCAGAAGCCCCCGCCAGCCTCAGGGCCCGAGGTGGGCCCCCGGCCCCCCGCCCCTGTGCCCCCAGGTGGTGCCAGTCTGCAGCCTGGCCCTGGCTGGGTTTGCATCTGGCAGCTCACCAGAGGGTGGGGCTGGCCGGCCGGCCTATTGGTCATTTCACTGGCCTTCAGTAACAAGCTCTGGAGGAAGGTTTGCTGAGAAGCTAACGAAGCCTCTTTTCCTTGCACTTTGCTTTATTCCCTTTCTACTTTCGTATCTTTTTTTTAAGAGGGCCCTTGTAAAATGTGTAAGTTTCAGGCCCTCCAAAATGTAGATCCACCCCTGCAGGAGCCTGAAAGGTCCGTGACTCAACTTGTTGGATCCCAGTGACAGCATATGGCTGGCATTTACCATCGTGGAGCAGGGGGGTTTTATTCATGAATAACAGGGTTTGTAGTTCCTCTTAATCCGGAGTCATAGCCCTGCTTCTCGTCCCACTTTTTGGATATGGTTCATCCTAAATAGTTCCACCTGTTGCTAACTTATATCTGCCCTTCTTTTCCGTTCCGTTGTCCTGCTCCTTGGTCCGCTTCGCCCTCCCGTCTGTCTGAGCTGGAGCCGTTGCGTCCTCACTGCTCCCTCTCTAACTCCTCTTCCTCCTGTGTGTTTTGCGCTCTCCTCCTGGAGGGGGCCGTCATCAGCGTTCCACACTCTCTCGAGAACCCCTTGCTCGCCGTTGATTACCTTAGTAATTGGTTCCCTTACTGTCTGTAGTGTAGGAAGCCTCTTCTAGGGGAGCTGTGGCCTTGGACAAATTACTTAACGTTCCGTGTCTCAGTTTCCACATCTGTCAAATGAGTTAAACTATTAACTACCTTGTAGTGTTGTTATGAGTGTTAAACGAGTCGGCGCTGTGAAAGTGTCCAGGACGGTCGTGACACCAAATACACAGTAAATGTTGACTGTTGTCGGCGTTGTGTCTTATTCTCGTCTGCTGTGTCCACCTGGTCCCTCCTTGTGTCTTGGAGTGAGAAGTGTGTGTCTCCTTCTTAAGCATGAGCTCTGGCTGTGTCTCCAGTGGGTTTTCTGCCACTTGCTCTCCTCATCTTGGCGTCTGCCCCTGAAAGCGTTTCCCTGTCCTTACAGCAGCGTCTCTCCCGCAGCCCGGCCTCACCCCTCCAGCAGCTGGTTCCTCCTTTGACAGCGTGCTCTTCCGGGCTCCCTCCCGCCATCGTCCCACTGCCGTTTCTACCCACGCTCAGCCCTCATCCGTCTTCCTCCCTTCTTAGCATCTGACCCTACTGACCAGCCCCTGCTCCCCTCCCCCTGCTCCCCCCTCCCCTTCATCCCCTCCTCCTCCTCCTCACCTTTGTCCTCTTCATCTTTTAAAGGTAGCCTGTTTTATGTTATCAAAGTTAATACATGCTTAATTTTATTTATTTATTTATTTTTCCCCAGAGCCCCAGTAGATAGTTGTATGTCATAGCTGCACATCCTTCTAGTTGCTGTATGTGAGACGCGGCCTCAGCATGGCGGGAGAAGCGGTTTGTCGGTGCGCGCCTGGGATCCGAACCCGGGCCGCCAGTAGCGGAGCGCGAGCACTTAACCGCTAAGCCACGGGGCCTGTGCTGAGGCCCATGCTTTCATTCGGTCTGTCTGAGAGCTGAGAATATCGAGACTTAGAAAGGTTGAGCAGCTGGTCCAGAGTCTCACGAGCCCTGATTTTTCAGTACTTTTGAGACCGTCTTGATTCTGGAGCCAGCTCTTTCATCCACTCTGCTCTTCTGAGATAGTGCCAGTAAAGCACTGAACTGGTCCCGCGTGCACACTGAGGTTCAGATTTTCACGACTAGAAGCTATTCCGCACGGCCGTCATTGTGTGCTTGTCACCTTAGCCCTTTGGCCAGAATTCCTAGGAATGTACGTGCTAAATCAGAGGACTCGTACTGTGAAACTTTCTTTTCAGATGTTTAGTTTGAGAGTTTTCAAAGCTATGGAAAGGTTGCAATTATGGTACAGTAAAAACTCCTGTTTCCTTCACCTAGATTCACCAGTTGTTAACATTTTGCCACATTTGATTTTTCTCTCTTTGTATATATGTTTATATGCACACACACACACACTTTATAGAGATATGCACGTTACCGGTATTTTTGCTGAATCACTGTAGAGTGCATGGTAGCCTCATGACCATGCACCCCAACTGCTCCAGTATTAACCTCCTAAGAAGGATATTCTCCTACATACTGACCGTACAATTATCTAATTCAGAACATTTAGCATTGATAAAATACTGTTGTCTGCTCCACATCCACACTCTCATTATAGGAATTGTGCCAATGCTGTCCTGTTTAGCTCTCTGTTTTCCCCTCTTTCTGGGGTCCACTCCAGACACGTATGCAGATAAAGCCTGGAAACATTTGCCATTAGGATTGTAATACCTCTGTGTGAGTTGACCCTTTTATCGTGGCGAGTGTCCCTCTTATCTCAGTGGTGCCCGTGCCTTCGTGTCCCCCTGGCCTGATAGTAACGAAGCTGTGCCAGTGTTCTTTGACTACTGGTGTGTGTGCATGGTGTGTACCTTCCGTCATTTTCTTTTAATCTTCCTATGTCCTTATATTTTACGTGTTTCTCCTATCTCTTGCAAATAAAATATAGTTTGGTTTTGTCTTTTTATCCAGTTTGATCATTTTTTTTGTCTTTAATTAGGGCTTTTAATCTATTTACTGGAATTATTTGTATATTAGGACTAATAGTCAGGACTAACAGTCATTATCTTCCTTGCTTTTTGTTTTCCTTGCTTGTTCTTGTTAATTCTGTCTTTTTCATGCTTTGGATTGGTTTTCAAGAGTTTGATCCCCTGCCCCATTAGCTGGGGTGTGTGTACTAGCTACTGTTGTTTCAGTGGCTGTCCTGTAGATTACAGTGTGTGTTCTTGACTTGTGCAAGTCGAACATAAACCCGTGTTTTTACTGCTTGCAAGTGATAGGAGGACCTTGGGCAGCCTTCACCCCGTCCTTTCTCGCGTGCTGTTATTGTCATGTGTGGAACAGGTGGAAATGATATAGGCTTGCATTTTATGTTGTCTTACAGTTAATGTACATGGGATCCACCCACATGCTCACCTGTACCAATGCTTCTCATTTTTCCTTGTCTCCAAACTTCTATCTGAGATCATTTTTTTTCTTTCTAAAAAATACTGTGTATTACTTCTTTTAGCTGGAGTATGCTATTGTCTGAAATTATCCTTATTTATCTTCCTCCTTGAAGGATATTTTCACTGAGTACAGGAGTCTAGTTTGAAAGTTGTTTTCTTTTACCATCTTGAAGATATCCTTCTGGAGTCCTTTTTTTGTTTGTTTTTTAAGTCAGCTGTCTAATGGTAGCTTTTAAGATGCTTGACTTTTGGTCTCTGGGTTTGGCAATTTTACTTTGTTGTTTCCAGATGTGGTTTTCTTTTTATTTATCCTGCTTTTTATAAGGCTTCTTGAATCTTTGGGTTGATATTTTCACTGGCAGTTTTGGAAAAATCTTGGCCGTTTTTCCTTCATAAATCATCTTTGCTCCATTTTCCGTCATTTCCTTTTTGAGACTTGATTGTCTGTGCTTTAGACCCGTTTGCTGTATCCTTGATTGTCCTCTGCTCTCTATTTTTCATCATTTTGTCTCACTGTCTTCTATTTGAAGCCTTCTTTTTGGTCTCAGACCTCTCCTCAGCTGTTATCTTTCCAGTCAGGGGATCTCTCTTCACCTATTGTCTTATTTTTGATTAGCATATTTTTCAGTCCTAGAGTTTCTTTTTTGTTCCTTTTTATACTGTCCTATTTCCTGACAAAATTCTTAGTCTTGTATTTCACGCCATGGAACATCATTATTTGAACGTCTGTGTCTGATAACTCCACCAGCTCGTGCCCTGTGGATCTGTTTTTGTCGGCTGTTGTTTTTCTTGGGTTTGATTCCTGTTCTGTGTTCTCTTTTTTGCCTGATTATTTTCGATTGAGTACTGGGCTTTGTACATGAAAACTTGTGGCAATAATTTGAGTCCTGGGATAGTATTTTCTTTCTTAAGAGGTGATTTTTAAAAATTTCTGACAGCTGGCTGGGGCGCCAGCAGTGGGCGATCTTGTTTCAGAGAGTGAGATGGCTCAGAGCGAGTCTTCGCGACGGTGGGGGGGTGGGGGCAGGCTTCTCCCGGGACCCCGACTGCTGGGCCCTGGCCTTCAGCCTCAGCACAGGTTTTCTGGCTGCTTGGCTGCACTCGGTGAAGGCAACTCCCGTCGCTGGGCTCTCCTCCCGGGATTTCCTTCTCCTGGATCCTCTTTCCTGCCTTTTTAGCTTTATGGTGCCTTTAAGCAGATTTAAAAAAGTATGTTGTACAGCTTTTCTGACTGTTCTCAGCAGGAGGGCTGATCTGAATTACCCAGTCCACTGGAAGGGGAGGTTCCCAGTCTCCCACTCTTGTCTCCGTGATTTGAAATACCACCGTCATCAAGTGTAACTTTATGACCTGCTCAGTAGCTTGAAGGGTCAAATGTGGTAACGCTCTTCTGTTTCTCTAGTTAACGCCTGAGACCCTGTGCCTGTGTTAGCGGGGAGTCCAGTGTCTCCGTCTGAAGGGTCCCCCATCCTGTTGTACAGCAGCCGGGGGGCTGTCTTATCCTGAGAGCAGCGTCCTCCTTTGGATGCCGGCTGAAGAGCGGGACCCAGTCCACTGGCAGGCTCAGTCCTCAGTCCTGGTTGCTCTCAGCTGCGCCCTGGTTCCGCCTGTCCCTGGAGCCTGGGGCACGTGTCCTCACTCAGCTGCGGTTAGGTGCTGGCTGGGCCAGGTCCCTGCACACATCCTCCTGCTCCAGGTGCATTTTCAGCTGGGTCCCTGCGCCCGGCTCTCCTTCCCCAGACCTGCTGGCTGGTCCCCAGGGGTGTTAGCATCGGCCTCCCACAGTGCAGGAACCACACTCCCGCCGGGAAGCTGTGCTGAGTAGACGGTGGATAGCAGAAAAGAAATCAAACACACGGGAGACTTTTTTTTCCAGAATATGATTAAATTTCTGCTTTCCTTTATCAGGGCTAGGTGTTAGCAATGGATTCGGTGAATATTTCATCAGTTAATGGGTATAAACCACTATTCTCCAGCTTAGGTGGGCCCCAGAAACACCCGGAGGGCTTAAGTCAGATTGCTGCCCCACCCAGCAAAGTTTCCTGCTGAGTGGGCCGAGGCGGGGCCCAAGAATCTTCATTTCTACCCGACGTTGAAGCTGCCTGTCCAGGACCCACACTTGGAGAACCACGGGCACGATCAGGAGTTTTCCTTAAGAAAGAAACAGACATGAATATTTATGAAAAACATTGTTCCATTTAAGTTTATTAGAAATTATTGATGTTGGATACTATAGCTCAGATGACTTTTTTTTTCATTTCAAAGAAATAAAAGAAGAGCTTGAAGATTTGAACAAAGAAATCAAGAAAACTGCTAATAAAATTCGAGCCAAGTTAAAGTGTGAGTTTAGTTTTGGTGATGTTTAATCATTGATGGTGGGAATATGGGTAATTATTTTCTTTGTGATTTTTTATTCTTTTACATTTTCAAAAGTTACAATTGTGAGCACTTTAAATTATTTGTATGTACTTGGAATAGTCAGCCTTTGTTTAGGTTATTTATCATTCTAAAATTCTTCGATGACCAGCTCTGAGGAGTGCATGTGAGGAGCTAAAGCTGGTGGTGGTTATTCCTTCACTTTAGGAGGGGAGCTCCAGTTCACCTTCAGATTAGGCACAAGCGGGGTTAGGCACTTGCTTGTGTATTGGCAGTCTCTTACAGTGGTATGTTTTTATGACATTCCTGGCTAAATTGCAGTTATTTGAGAAGCTGAGTAGCCTTTAGAATGCATTTCAGGTTCTTCCTGAGTTGTTCTTTGAGTCAGCAGGTCTTGTGAACACTCAGTGCGGTTCAGCTTGGTTTATGGGGCTCCATGTTCGACACCAGCCGCGGTGGTTTTTAGAGGTTTATAGCTTTCCTACGGCCCTTAACAGAGGCTGTGTTTTCTTGATGTGGTAGAAAGACACATTGTACTTAATTTTTACAACACAGCATTCAAATCAAGAAAATCTCTGCAGATCAAAAAGAACTTTTGTTATGGAAAGTTTCAGGCGTGTATAGAAGCAGCGCGATTACTGCCATGAGCCGGGTCCACACTGTTGGCTCTGCAGTCTCAGGCCCCCACCCCACCTGGGTGATTGTGAAGCCAGTCCCAGACATGGGTGACTTCATCATGTATGTTTCAGTATGTATTTGTAAAACATAAGGATTTCCCCCCCAAAATACAACCACAATACTATTACTGTATCTAAGTCAAATTAATTATCATTATTTATTATGAAATATCCAGTAAGAATTTATACTTACTCAATGATCTTTTAATTTTTTTCTTTTTTTTTTTTTTACCGTTTGTTTGAATTGGATTCCAAATAAAGCCCATACACTGTGATTGGTTGATGTGTCAGTTATGATCTTTTAAAAGCAGTTTCTCCTTCCTCTTTCCCCCGGCACTGTTTTTCTTTTGGTTGGAGAAACCAGGACATTTGTCCATCAGAATTCTTTTGCCGTGCTCAGGATTTCCCTCACTGCACCCCTGCCGTGTCATTCAACGGGTGCCGCTGTCTTCCGCGTTTCCTGGAGATCCATAGTTAAGTCCTTGAAACTTGGGCACATTCAGGTGGTTTTTTTTCTTTTAAAGAATGTTAAGATATAACATCTTGTTTTATTTTGTGATATTATCAACAGTTGATGATTATTACCAGCATCCATTCATTTATTAGGGGTTGAACAGATAAGAAAGAATAGCACTCTGAGGTTTGGCTTGAAAAACTTTCAGTTTTAGTGTAAAAGATAGCTCTTTCCTGTTGTTTCTAGCTATTGAACAAAGTTTTGATCAGGATGAGAGTGGAAACCGAACTTCAGTGGATCTTCGCATACGAAGAACCCAGGTTTGATCATCAGCCTCCTCTAGATTGAAGTGATGTCCAAGAATGGGTCTCTTCACTTTCTTCTTTCCAATGCAAAATAATTTCATCTTTACTATCACGTTAATCCTCACAACATTTCTGCATAGAAAGGACATAGTATTCATACACTACCTCTCTTTATTACGACGAAAAGAGTCTGTTCAGCCCATCCACAGAATTCTATTCTGAAGAGCAAAGAATTATCAGAGTCATTTTAGTGTTTGTGTAAGGTCCTTGCTGTCAGAGGTTTATGGTGCAGCCAAGTGGCATTCAGACCACTTCACTTCAGTCTCCTTGACAAATGGTGATTAACGTGTAGGCTCTGGGGTCAGCCTGCTTGGGTGCCAACCCTGATCCAGTCAGCCTGTAGCCTGGCTGATTGACCTCTCTGAAACATGGTTTCACCTCTGTAAGATGGGGGATATTAATAGTACAGTAGGGTTATTGTGAAAATCAAGTAAGATACTGCCTGTGAAGTTCTGAGCACAGACTCTGTTATAGAATAAGTTGCTGTTTCTCTTAGTTTCCATTTGAAGGAGTAGCATAATAGTTTGAATCTCTGTGATGTAATGTTTTTATATCTCAGTAGAAGTGACCGTGATATATTAATCTAATTTTTTCCATGTTAATAGCATTCAGTACTATCTCGAAAGTTTGTAGAAGTTATGACAGAATATAATGAAGCACAGACTCTATTTCGGGAGCGAAGCAAAGGGCGTATACAGCGTCAGCTGGAAATAAGTGAGTAAATGAAAATGCTATTTTTGTTAAAAACGTACTTTTCTTCCTTAAGAAAGATTTGCCTTAAAAACTGATGCAAATATGCTTGATTTTGAAAAATGAGTGTGAATTGTATTGAACAGTTCAGGAACCGTGTTCCTTTTCTAATACAATTTTGAATTATTCCACTCGTTCATCATTTATACATCCAACTGCTTAGCTTAGATTCAAGTCTGTGTTGATGTGTTTATTTGCCTGCCACTCATCACTGTGTCCTCAGAATTGCTATAGGACTATTCTGGCTCTAACATAGACTTTTTAAATCTTTAAATAGCCTGTGAGTGGGATATGCTCACTGATCTGTGCTTAAGTTGAAGATATAACTTGTCTTGAAGGATGTTTACATATGTAGAGATCATGCTTGTGTAACTGTAATGTTGTCTGTGTGGTGGTGTCCCCGTGTGGGGGAGCTGTGTGCCGAGGACAGCCAGCTCCGTCTGTCCACCTTCTCTTCAAGTGCAGTCCTACTAGTCCTCGCCTTTTGTGACCATTCTGACCGTACTCTTTCAAGTCAGCTTTCCTAGATTTGGAGTATTTACTGAATTTGTGTTTTTAATAATTGAGGTTATGGAAATGCTTTTTGATTTGTATTTAGCTATTTAAGTCATTCATCAGATAGCACATTTGTATGTCTAAGCCTCACGTACCTATTTGGAAAACTTAGCACGATCAATTTTAGAACATTTTCATCACTCCGGAAAGAAACTCTGTATCCCCATTTCCCCTCCCCTGAGCCCTCGGCAACCACCAACCTACTTGTGTATCTGTATAAATCAGTCCTTTTTGGACGTTTCATATAAACAGAGTCATACAATATGTGGTCTTTTGTGACTGGCCTCTTTCACATCACACGGTTTTTCAAGGTTCAACCGTTTGTAGCAGGTGGGCATTTCATCCGTTTCTATGGCTGAATCGTGTTCCATTAATGGGTGGACCACAGTATGTTCAGCCATTCATCGGGTGATGGGCATTTGAGTTGTTTCCACTTTTTGGCGATTATGAATAATGCTGCTACGAACATTCACATTAAATAATATTTTAACTATTATGATGTTTACTCATTTAATTTTATCTTTTGTGGCACACATTTTGAAAAATAGTAATTATCAATGAGATTTTTCCAAAAACCTGTGAGCAGGTGTCATAGAGAGCATTAATACATTTAACTCAAGGAAAAATATTAACAACCAAAACTTAGAAAATATTAATGCATTTGATTCTAATTATGAGTCTTTATTTATGTCCATTTAGTATATGCTGAATTCCGCTTACCCCCTTTTTCCATAAACCAAAGTTAAACTTTTAGGAAAACTGATGTGCCAAAAAATTACTTATCGATATCCTTTTTATAGTTGTTTCTCATTCATACTAAAATTAGATTTTAGTATTCATTTCGGTGATAAGGTTTTTCACAAGTGTTTTCTAGTTCTTCCCTCTTCTCAGTCTTTTGTTAGTTTCTCTTGTTAACACGTGCCTAAAAAAATATGTTTGAAAGGTTAGAAAAACATTGTTGAAAAATGTTAACAACTCAATTAGATTTTAGTTGCTAATTTATGGTTGAAAAAGTCATTTTTAAATATTACCACATTCTGAATGGTGTTTTTAATTGTTAATGTTTTAGCTGGAAAAACCACCACTGACGATGAGCTGGAGGAGATGCTGGAAAGTGGGAATCCTTCCATCTTCACCTCAGACGTGAGTGCGCACGCGGCTTTGTGGCCGCAGATGTTTTTATTTAGATATATATGTTTTTCTTTAACTTCTAAAGCAATCATCAATTCGTTTGATTTTTCTTTTGTTTTTGTTTTTCAAAGATTATATCAGATTCACAAATTACTAGACAAGCTCTCAATGAAATTGAGTCGCGTCACAAGGATATTATGAAGCTGGAGACCAGTATCCGAGAGCTGCACGAAATGTTTATGGATATGGCTATGTTTGTTGAGACTCAGGTAATGCTCTAAAATAGAGAGCAGTCATTCCCTAAATCACATAAGTAAAATCTTATATTTGATTCCAGTTTACCTAGGAAAGCCATTATTTTGAGTCCAATCCTAAAATTCAAAAGTTGATTGCAGTGTTGTTCCAATGTAAGACTGAAATGCTGGAAACAGCTTAAACTTTCAACAGTAAGGGACTGGTGTAGTTAATTAAACTGTGGGGTGTCCATAGGACAGCCACTTGGAGGGTTTTTAGTGACATATACAAATGTGCTGGAATTTTAAGTTTAGATAAGAGGGAGATACAAAACCTTATATGTGTACACATACACACACACACACATGTAAATGTATACATGTAACACACACATGCACGTGTTTATGTATGGCATGAGCTTGGCTATATGAAACAGTATTCACAGAAGGAAAGAAGTATACCAAACAGTATATTAATAGTGGGACTATGGGAATTTTAATTTTCTTCTCTGAAATATATGAATTTTCAAGTTTTCTACAAGAAGCATATGTTAGAGTAATAACTAGGAGAAATGTTTAAAAGACTGAGCCCCACGGGGTACAGATAGAGGCTTGTACTTATTCCCTGGTGATGTCAGTTTGTCCAGTGACACAGGTGGGGCGTGAAGGGGGTGTGGAGAGAGCCCTCTGAGAGGACTGAAGGAGTTAATACAGTTTTTAGAACAATATAAAATGTAGCCTACAGTACAAGCCGGTGCGTATCTCTCAGGTGTGTAGATATGTTTGCATCTCCTCTGTGACTCTGAATAAGGTCGTTCGTGACTTTCCAGATACTGTGCGAGGTCTGGACCGGGTCATTCACTGATTCAGTGACCGTGAGAATTCAGCTGGCCGCCATGTGGGGTGGGAGCTTTCGTACCTAACCATCTTTGGCAAATTGCTTCCTCGCTGCTATGGAGACTGGTTTCAGGATCTGTTTGGCAGGAATAGTCCTCTAAGAAGGTTCAAATCTGACTGCTGATTTTCTGTGATTGCCTGGATTATGTAGAAATTCCATCCATGTACAGGGTTCATTCTCCACATGCGTCACTCACCCTTTGAAGAACACCATTTATTTTGAGGAGGTTTATCATAAAAATGTGTGTGGGAAGCTGAGGTAGATGCATTTGCTAGGAGAAACCAACAACCACATGGCGGGGTGGATGGGACAATCTCACTCCTTTCTGATTTGGGTGGACCCATTGCCTTTTATGATGCAAGAAATGAAGAGTTGGGAGTCTGGTTACTATCAGTTTCTTATTTTCAGTTTCTTATTTCCACATACTCCAGTTAGACAATAAGAACAGTACGTTATTTTTGTAATTAAAGATTTTAGAGTACCGTGGACTTTAATTATAATTGTTCTATACCAAATGTATTGCATTAGGTTCCATTAGAAAAATTGCTGTATTCTTAGCTTTGTCTCGTTGTTTCCTTTAGAAGTCTATTAGTATTGCATTATGTTGACATATCTAATTCAAAATATACGTACAGTCACAACTTTCTAGTAAGTGTAAATTGTGAATGAGTAAGTTAATTGTGCGTCATTCTTCACTGCTTTGCTATTCACTGGTGAAGAGTATGTCTGCTGGTGGACAGAGAGCCAGGTAATGTGTCTTCTCCCCTAACGTTTCCTGGATTCATCGCACTGTATATTTTTGCTCATTAATTTAGTCAACTTAGTGTCAGACATAAGCTATTCTTAGTTTACTGATATTTTAAAGAAATCGCAACAGTTTTCTACCCATTCTTTGTACATTGTATGTACGTGCATAATAGTACAATATGAGCTGAGCCTACAGCTGGCTGCCTCCTTCACTGTGCTCGTCTTTCCATAGTGTTCGCATGTTAAAGCACATCTCAGAATCTACTTGTTGTGCCTTTAATTGTCAGCATTGTTGCCCATCCCTTTAATTCTTTTTAAAATATAATTTGAATTTTGATTACTTTGTATTGGCACATTTACAATGGTCTCATCTTTTTGTAAACGTGAAAAAAAAATTTGGTATCCATTACATGCACATTACGTTCACCTAAAAACTATTGACATTATATGGCCGTCTTAAGATACATAATTGGGGCAATTGAAGATGTCTTCTAAGTTTGAAACTTTTTGTTTAAGGGTGAAATGATCAACAACATAGAAAAAAATGTTACGAATGCCGCAGACTATGTAGAAAATGCTAAAGAAGAAACGAAAAAAGCTATTAAATACCACAGCAAAGCGAGAAGGGTGAGTGTGGTTTTTAAGAATTAAAGTGTGTTTTTCTCTCTATTTGGTTTTGAGCTGTCGTACATTGATGTAAGCTGACTTAAAAGCTATTCCAGGGAATAAAAATTTCTTCAATTAATGTTTCATTTTAAAACTTAATAATTCTTTTTGCTAAAATGTTCTGAAGTTTATTAGATAAATTATGTTGACTCTGAACTGTTTTGTGTTCTAAGTAATTAAAACCCTTCACAACCAAAAGTCAGGCCATTTCCCTTTTCTAGGTTGGATGGGTTTAAACTCGGGAGTTCTCTGTTTCTTGGGTCGTTATTTGGAGGGTGATATAAAACTACTGGAATTGGAAATTCTCCTAAAAATCATTGGTTACACATTTTATGCAATGAACACTTTATTCTTTATTGAGATTATTTGCTAATTCTTTGGTTTGGAGGAAAGAAGAGAATTATTTGAGACTCTGGCCCTAAGATGTCAGATAGCACCCACATTTAAGCTTTGTAAATGGGTTTTAATATCTTTATCTGAATCTTCAAGTATGTTGTGTATGAGTGAAGGCTTTTCTAAGAAAACAGTGAAACTACAAAATTCAGTTCTGATTCGGGGCCTGGAAACTACCCGTGTATCTCACTGTGTGCCCTTGTCCACGTACTTGGTCTCCTCCTCCGCAGTGTGGAGAAGGTTGACTCAAAGCACCAAACCATTGCTTTCAGTGTGTGTCCCCTCCCACCTCCCGAAGGTGGCGTTTGGGTTACAGTGCCATGCTTAGAGGCCAACTGCTCAGGGAGGGTTGGGGGAGGTGTCCAGTGCGATACCTGCAAAGACCTTGTAAAGGGAGAGTTTCCAGGTGTTCAGAACAAGTGGAGTCGGATTGTGTGTGCAGATTCAGCCGAGATAGTTGTGCGTGGACATTCTCAGAGAGGACGCACATCCAGGCTTTCCTGTCAGCCTGCAGAGCATCTCGCTCTGCTTTTTTTGGCATATTAATGTGTGTTAATTATCTTTGAAATGTAGGACGTGGCTTCTCACATTATTCTGTTTCACTTTTTAGAATATTGACCCTTAGAGTAAAGTGAGGTGGCCAGATATGTATGTGTGAAATGCTTAGCCGAGGTCTGGGCACGAAGTAGACTGTCACTTAAAAAAATCTCTAACAAAGGGCAGTTCCCTTCCTTTTCTCCATAACCTAGATGGCATGTCAGTCCAGTGAAAATCGAGTGAAAAGTTCATTGTTTTACAAAGATGAGAGGTGGGGGAGTGACAGGTGTCATTGCTACCCTACCAAGGGAGCCTGGTGTAGGGTGACTGGGGTCTCTACATTACCTGGTCAAACGTGGATGTCTGTTTCAAAAATGATCAGCATCTTTCCATGTAAAGGCCTGACATCTGACACCGTGCAGCTTAACTTCTTGCTGTGCTCTGCCTCGTCTGTTCAGATGTTGGCTGTCTCCTCCTCATGTCCTGTCTATTCCCAGGGCAGCGTGTGTGGCCCCTGGAGGCTGATGTTAGTGGGTGATTTCCTTTATATGGTGTGGGGGAGCAGTGAGGGGTTCAACTGCCAACAACAAACCAATGAGAAAGAAGACGGTGGGCTTGTTAAGGAGAGGACTGATGTCTTAGTTCACTGATCTGGTGGATGTGGGAAAGATCAGGGGTATGTCTCAGTCCCTCCGAAAATTATCCAAATAATGTGGTCGTGCAGTGCTCTCACTGATGAAACAATATTCTCAGAGTTCTATAACAGAACTAACAGTTTTATTCTCCAAATAGTCAGACCTTATTAAATTAAAAATCACTCTTTTTGGAAACTAAAAATTGACAAACAACATTAATCAGCTGTCCTCTAACTTAGATTTTAAACCAATTCCAATGGACCGTTTTATTTTAAATGACTGGTGACCTCTAACGTGGTGATATGAAATTAACCATGATGTAATCGGCTTGCTTTTCCTTGACAGAAAAAGTGGATAATTGTTGCTCTGTGTGTGGTTCTGGTTGCTGTAATTGCTCTAATTATTGGTTTATCAGTTGGCAAATGAGGATGCGGATGCCGTCAGTGTGCCTGCCCCCCTGCCAGTGTGACAGTAAGTAACTAACTCTCCCACTTAGCTAACAGTAGTGCCTGCCCAATTTTAATACACTTACAAGTAGTAGATGCCTGCCAGGGAGCAGCGGGGCAGGAATGTTGTCTCGGGGTGCGTGTGCCCGACCTGCCGAGTTCTGGTCTCCAGCCGTGATATTTACTGAGAATACACGTGGGCTGGATGGTAGTTCCTTTTTATTATTTATGTATTTAGTGAGGAAGATTAGCCCTGAGCTAACATCCATGCCAGTCCTCCTCTTTTTGCTGAGGAAGACTGGCCCTGGGCTAACATCCATGCCCATCTTCCTCTACTTTATATGGGACGCCGCCTCAGCATGGCTTGACATGCGGTGCGTCGGTGCGCGCCGGGATCTGAACCCGGGCCGCCAGCTGTGGAGCGCGTGCGCATTTAACCACTATGCTGTGGGGCCGGTCCCGGTAGTTCCTTTTTAAACTGAGGCCTCCTCCTTGCATGGCTTTTTTAAAGCTTCTGGCTTTACTGACATGACTTGGATGTGACAGTGTGGCAGGCACAGCTCCTCGGTCTTTTGTTTTCGATCCACGAAGACTATTCCACTCCTTAGAGTGGGCCCTTCATTAAATCTAATAACCATAGCAGTGAAGGTGAATTCTCAGTTAGAAAACAACATTGAATATTTTTTAAAAATTTATCTCTTAAATTTTAATTTTTAAAATAATTGCAGCCACTGGAAGTTGCTTTGTGGGGTGTATTTATTCATCGTTTTACTGTGGATTAGAGGGAGTGGGGCTCCAGCTGTGAAAAACGTTCAGTCGAGTTAAAATCTTTCATCTAACTTGTTTCTGTTTGGCAGCATCTAGTTTGTTTGAAAATACTTTCCTATTAAAATGAAGACTGTATTTAGTTAGCATGCCTGTTAATCCTTAATTAAAGGATTCTGAATATGGAAGATACTCATAGTTATTTATTTAAAGTATATTTTTGTTCACTGTGTGTCACCTTTCTCCAAACTTCCATAGATTTTGTGTTTTTCCTCTGGTTTTCTTAGGCATTTGGAGTCATCCTTCTTGCATTAACCCTTAAGTTAAAATGCTGTCTGATGTATTAAATTTGGACATACCAGTCATTTCTCTTAAAAAGTTTGTTTGGGGCCGGCCCGGTGGCGCAAGCGGTTAAGTGCGCGCGCTCCGCTGCGGTGGCCCTGGGTTCGCCGGTTCACATCCCGGCTGCCCACTGACGTACTGCTTGTCAGGCTGTGCTGTGGCGGCGTCCCATATAAAGTGGAGAAAGGTGGGCATGGATGTTAGCCCAGGGCCGTCTTCCTCAGCAAAAAAAGAGGAGGATTGGCAGATGTTAGCTTAGGGCCCATCTTCCTCACAAAGAAAAAAAGAAAAAAAGTTTGTTTGACATAATCATTGTGGTTAGAATTGTGAAGTGCCCCTGGTGTCTACACTGTGGCAGGTGGTCCCTGATGAATTCCTTCTTTTATGATGAAAGTGGCTGCTGGCTTGACAGATTCTGGGCACCTTATTTAAAAAATAAGACGTCACAGTGGAAAGGAATCACTTCTGTGTCCCGTGTCTTGACTGCTCTCGGTCTCCACAAGTTCCTTCTCCCTGGGAGCGTCTGGTCACTCAGCCCACATGGCTGACGGACGAGGAGCTGTCGCAGTTAGCGTTCTGACGTTCGTGCAGGCTGCACAGCTGCACTGGAAATTGTTTCGGGTGTGAGCTCTGGCACGTTGGGCTTGTTAACGTCCCATCTTCGGAGGCAGAAAGAACTCTTAGCCCTCTGTTTTTATTAGGCAGAAGGTTATGTATCTTTCCTATTAGCTCTGCTGAAAAAGTGGTGTATGTGATTTTTCTTCACTAATGTAATGGTATTTTAAAAATATTTTTATAATTCTTTCTAAAATATGTATTTTCTTAATTTTTCCTAGTGGCCATAATATGGTTAATTGAATGTGGTTACACTAAAGATAACATTAATTTTCAGATCTGACCCTGTGACGTGAGCTGCTCTCATGGGTGCCCTTTGGGAGTGCCTCAGAGTAAGAGCCGGCTCCTCTCAGTGGTTCTCAGGGGAGAGTGAGCCTGGTTCTGGGCCGTACCCTAGTGCCGTTAAATACAGACGAACACAAAACAATCCTCATTAATAAAAAACACATCAAAGTGCACACCAACGATTATTTTTTTATTCAAACGCAGCAGTTGATGTCTTTAATTATACTTTTAAAAAATTAATTTATTCTCTCAGCACATAGTTCAGCCAAGCCTTCCTCTGGGCTGGCATGGACCGCAGGCACCTTGAGGAGGTAATCCTTGTGCCCGTAATCCTGCGGCGAGGGGGTGATGCTCTTTCCTACTGAGGAGACAGGCGGAGAGAACCCCATGCCCTGGTGTCTGTGCAGGAGGCGATAGAGCCATCCTCAGCTCAAACACCACCCACTCCCCAGGGTGTGCTCTGTCCCTGAAGGAGAAGTCCAGGCATTGGCTCGAGCTGTTATTGGGATCTAGATGAGAATGGTTGTTGACTGTGTGGCATTGAGGGCGCAGGGATTCACAAGAGCACAGCTGGGAGCCACATGTGGAAGAGAGCACACGCAGGGAGTGCCCGCCCTCGTGCTCGCAAAGGCACAGCAGCAGTGAGAGTCAGAGCAGGACTGGAGTGGCCCGGTCCCTACGGTGGTTCCAGTAGCGGGGGTCAGCGGGCCGCACGGGGCAGGCGACACGGGAGCCAGGTTCTGGAGCTGCAGGGTGGACAGCGGTGGGCAGGAGGGCATTATAGGCCAAAGGAAAGAGATGTCTCTAGAACGGCGAAGTTCCTAGGAAAGCAAGTGGAGGGGGCGCTGGCATGGTTGGGACTCAAGCCCTCACGTCCCGGGAGGTGTACGTCCTATTACCAAGCACCGTCAGCGGGAGGAGAGGCCTGTCCTGACGGCTCGAGGAGTTCACTCGGAAGTTCCCCGCGGGCCTGGCTCCGCTGGTCTCATAACTCGTGCGGTAATTACCCGAGTGCTTGGCCCTCGAGGTTGGCTTAGAGCTGTGCAGTCTCAGCAGATGGGCTGCCGTAGAGGCACGTGTGGCGTACGTGTGGTAACTGGGATGGAAAACGATGAATCGCTGCTTTCGACAAGAGAGCTTGAAGTCATGCGGCCGTGTGCCTTTCGTCTTGCTGACCTCCTGCCCTCCTTCCTCACACGCGTTTCCGGGAAGAGTCTAGGTTTCTTCAGGTGGTTTAGCTTTCAGCTGTGCAAGGGAGCTTATTAATGTAGACAACAACAAAAACCAGTTAATGCTTCTGGGCCACGTACACAGGAAGACGGAGGTAACGGCTCGCTGATTTCTTACACAGGAGCATCATGCCTCAGTGTAAAAAAATGTATAAATAAGATCTTTTCAGCAAATGAGAAATAGATTCATTTAAAGTTTTACAAAGGTGTACCATGCATCTGAGAAATAGCAGTTTGGAATTTTATTATGATCAGTAGAGAGTGTTCGTTGAGAACCCACACGGTGCAAGGCAGACATGGCCTTTTCCCTCCAAGAGCAAATAGTTGTTTTAACGACACATATTTTAACGTATTAAACGCACTTAATTTAATATACACATGTCTATAACGCGTGCTTGGCCTGTGGGACTTTCCTTCCCCAGCCTCCCTCTTCTGTGACCTGTAGGGGTTCTTTCTTGATAATGGGCTTGTGTTTTAAACTATCTCAAATTTCAGGAGAATTTTGTCAGAAAATGACATTAGTGATTTCTTTCCTTTGATATCTTGCAAATTAATTAATGTTTTTCTTTATCTTGCAGAAAATGATGTTCATTATTATTTGTGTAATTATTTTGCTTGTGATCCTTGGAATTATCCTAGCAACAACATTGTCATAGCAACCATTTCCCAAGAGACATTCGTCCTTGGAGTCAGACCACATCTGCAGCAGATCAGCGTCCTCCCATTTCATGAATGAATCCCAGACATTGTGACATGTGGCGTTGGGTGCTGACTTTTCACTAGTGAATTCAAGGAGGAAACACAACAGAACATATTGTTCAGTGAAAAAACCGTAAGCAGAATGGATGTGATGAGTTTACCCAACATCCTTGGACCCTAAATAACACACCACAAAAATTTAACAATGTGAAACTTGTTTCAATGGCCTTAAAAAAAGGAATTATTGAAAATTTCAATTTTTTTTATATTTCAGTGTTAAGGATATATGTGAAGTTTAATTAGGAATATTTTATGTTATAAAGCTATTAGATTTCAGGTCTAATACTTTCTTCTCTCCCCTCCTCCCAGCCAACATATGCTAATTCAGAGACGTTTTATACAATGTTTAATTCCTATTTGTTTATTGTTTGCAATAGTAATTTTTATTATCACAGCTGTTTTGTAAGATATCTATAATTTTAAATGTGTATAAATTGTTTAATATATTAACTTCTTAATTTACTCCGTTTTTATATATTACATACTGCTTTTTAAAAGAAATAGGGAGCTTCGTGAGATTGGAACCATCTTTGCGCAGTTGTTTATAAGATTTGCCATTGGCATAGACAACATTGGCTGCAAAACACCGCAAAGAGCCTTTCAAGTGCCTTCTGTTCATGTTGATTTATCAGGTTTAAATGCGCCTGATTCTGCCCAGAAAGTCCCGATTCTTGTTCTCGGCTCCATTTCTACCTGTTGCGTTACCCGAGATGATAAATTAGTTACTGCATGGCAAAGGCAGTGGCCTCTTCTTTGTTCCTTAAAATAAGATTTGTGTTTCCCTGTTTATATTAATAAAGTCCGAATTTAAAATGGTGGTGAAACCAAGATTTAGTACTTTCTAAACTCAAGGAAATTATTTCTAGACATTAAGTAATTCTTTTAAATTTAAACTGTCATACAGTTAACTTAAATGTTCTTGTTAAGTACCTGCTATTCTGCTGAACTTTAAAATTCCCAAAGTTTATAGGAATCTATGCTAATTAAACATTTTTATTGCTCATTAATGTTTTTTAGTATAATAATATGCTTTATTTTTAGACTTTTAAAATGTGTGAAATCTTACTAGTACATGGACATCTATTAAGATAGCAACGAGTCGGAATTTTAAATGAATATGTGAAGGCTACCCAAAATATGTCAACTCTTGTTACTTCTGTGTGTGATTCTATAAGCATGTGACTGTATTGTAACATTGTTTGCTTTGAAAACTAATATAGGTGTGCTTGCTTCCAAACAATAAGTGTGAATTGTATCGAACAGTTTAGAAACTCTGTTCCTTATTTAACACAATTATGAGTTATTCTACTCATTCATCACTTCTGCATCCAGCTGCTTAGCTTAGATTCAAGTCTCTATTGTTGCGTTTATTTACCTGCTGATCATCACTGTGTCCTCAGAATTGCTACGGGAGTATTCTGGCTCTAACCTAGATTTTAACATATCACTGGGATATGCTCACTGATCTGTGCTTAAGTTGAAGATATAACTTGTCTTGAAGGATGTTTACATATGTAGAGATCATGCTTGTGTAACTGTAATGTTGTCTGTGTGGTGGTGTCCCCGTGTTGGGGAGCTGTGTGCCGAGGACAGCCAGCTCCGTCTGTCCACCTTCTCTTCAAGTGCAGTCCTACTAGTCCTCGCCTTTTGTGACCATTCTGACCGTACTTCTTCAAGTCAGCCTTCCTAGATTTGGAGTATTTACTGAATTTGTGTTTTTAATAATTGAAGTTACGGAAAGGCCTTTTTGATTTGTATTTAGATTTTAAGTCATTCATCTGATAGCACATTTATGTGTCTAAGCCTCATGTACCTGTTTGAAACCAGATTTTTTAAAATATATTTACAGGTTCATTTGTGACTTTTTATCATTTCTTCAAATATTTTATGTTTACATTAAAAAAATTCCCAGAGAACCAAAAAATTTTGCTTTCTGCCTTGTCATTTCTTAAAAGATTTTTGGGGAGATATTTTATTGCATATCCATTAATAAATTGTTCCACTAAGAAAATTACTCTTACTCGTGGCCATTATTATATGTAGTAATATAGGGCAAGTTAATAATTTTAGGTGTTTTTGATAAATGTTTTTATTATTTATTATTATTGTTATTACAAGCTTCTGTGGTTCATGTCTCAAATGTCAGCAGCACGTTAAGGGCCCACCTGAATTCTTGTTTTCACAACAAATGCTAAGTCAAGGAATTGGGGCTGTGTCTCAAAGTCACTGGCTTCGTATACTTATGTCAATTTGACAGATTCTCATTAACATTTATTAATGAGGGGAGTCCTCCCCCGCCATGTTCTGAATTATTTATTCTCTGTACTTTTCTTAATCCTCTTTCAGAGTTTTTTTTAAGTGAAATTTCCTTAATCCATAACCCTTAGTGAATTCTAACCATGTTGGAAAGTGATGTTCAAAAACCAGAATTTAAAAAGAAAGAAAAAGAAGATAGTCCTGGAAAAAATTAGTTCATGGAGATAGATTCCCATACATTAATTTTAATTCTCTATTTCTTCCACAGTGAATTTCCTTCCAAATTGCAATCTTGATATACACATTCAGTAATTTAGTTCCTTTGTTTATACTTTTTAGAGAAAACAAAGCTTTATCACCTAAATGGATTTTATTGGTTCGAAACCTTGGGAGCTTCCTGGGTGACATCTGAAACTGGCCCTGTCCCCGGGGGGCAGGGAGAGACCCAAGAAAGAGGCAGCCCACTCAGGATGGGAAGGTGGCAGGTTTAGCCAGCAGGGGAACTCACATCCGAGCTTGTCTTGTGTGGCCCCACGACAAGGAGATCTCCGCCCTGCCCACCAGAGTCTTGAAGTTTACAGAGAGGCGTCAACAGGATTCAGTCACTACACCATCCAGATGGCCTCAACACCACCCCTCTCAAGGCTGAGTCCTTGAGCACAGCGCCCACCATGGGAACAGTGGGCAGAGTGAACATTTTAGGGACGGGAGGGTGAGGAGCCTCGGATTGCCTGGACCAACTCGCGAGTCAACCGGAAGTCACGTCCTCTACATTATCTCCTCCAAATTTTTATTAATTTCAATAAATCTAAACTCACGTTCCATGAGTTTGAAAACGGGTTAAGCTGGGATGACATTCAAACTAAACAGTCTCCATAAGAACCAGGGAGGAGGGGCTGGACTTGGAGCGGCTGGGTGTGGGGCTCCCCACTGCTGAGTAGTCAGTGAAGAGCCCAGGGTCAGGGTGGGCCCTGGGCAGCCCCACGGACCGGGCACAGGCCGCCCGCAGTCCATCTTCTGCACCCTGACCCTGTGCCCCGCTGAATATAAACGGGTGGGCAGCGCCCGCTCAGGTCAGGACCGGACACCTGTGAGGGCGTCAAGGCCTGTCCCCCTCAGTGACTCTGTTAGTCCACACGACACAACGCTCTCCTCTGCTAATGGGAAGGGGAGCCCCGTGAAGGACAGACTAGAGCGCCGCACCTGCTCCATGAATAGATGGAGATGCCTGGTCTCTTGGTGGCCGAGCAAAGCCTGATGGGGCCTCTGGCTGGTTCTGTAGGAGCACAGGGCCGACGTGGGAGGTACTAGATGTCACAGTGTTTTATCCAGAACTGGTGTTCATAGTTAGAGTTAGTCCCAGCGTGTGCGGCGTGGAAGGGACAGAATATGGCACAGCATTTAGACGCAGCAAAAGCCCTCCGAAGACGCGTCCAGTCTCCTAGTCACCATCGGGAAGAGCTGCGAAGATGGACCCGTGTTTTCACGGTGACGAGGAGGACACGGGCGGGGCACTTAGCACGGTGCGGGCTGCCCTGTTTGGTTGGGTTTTCTTGGAGGCAACACTCGGTGGTCATCTTCTGACAGTACCCAGTGCACGAGAGAGTGAATTCCTAGACCACAGACGATGGCGGAGGCCTTGGCTTCATGAAAGGGGGGTGTTCCAGGAAAGGCAGCAGAGGCGTGGAGAGGTCAGGGTCAGGAGGTCAGGCCTGCGCGGTGGGACCTCGGTCCCCTCTATGGAAAGAGGGTGGAGATGGGCATCCCGGAGAGCCTTCCAGAGTACAGACCGTGTTCACGCTCATTTTACATAAGCTGTGTCCCCAGCCGAGCGCACCGTGGGGAACCCTCCTGGGCAAAACCCTCCACAGAGCAAAGCCCAGCCCGGGGATGACTTCCTCTGCATTCCTGTGACCTGTGCTTCAGGCGTGTCACTGAGCTCCCCGTGTCCTCGGGCGGGTGGTCCTGCGCTAGTCCAGGCTGCGTTGTGAAAGGTTAGACGCGGGATGATCCAGAATGACGGGTTGCGGTGTTCTGCAGGCTCTGGGGCAGAGATGGGTGATGGAGAGCAGCCCGGAACAGCAGCTGCAGAGCAGGGAGCGGGGCGGGCGGGGCCCAGGTGAGGAGAGGGGCGTGGGCGAGGGTGTCCCGACGCAGTGAGACAGGGGGCAGAGGGCAAGGTCAGGTCCTCAGAGTCGAGTGCAGGGACTGAGCCGACAGCAAAGACGGCCCCCGATGCTCAGAGTGCGGGTGACAGAGGCGTGCTCTCGAGACCTGGTGGGGACCGTGACAGCCCGCAGCAAAAATACGAGTGGATGAAGGGTGGAAGAGGGGGCTAGAGGAGGGCGTGGAGGGTGGCAGGGTGGGCACGGTGCTCCACCTGCTCCCCAGGTGCTGCTCTCTCAGGGCTCAAAGCCCCCAAAAGGCCTTGTCTGCAACTGGGGTGGCCTTGGGTCAAGGAGGGCTGGGTCGCGTGGACCCCCATGTCTTTCTGTGCTTCCACCAGGAATTAGGGCGTCGGAGTACGAAGCCCCACTGCATGTGCCAGGGGCCTGGGGTGAGAGGAGCGTATGGCCTGCCGTGCCTTTGTCTTTTTGTTTAAGTGCTTTTTGAGGCATAATTTAATTTGAATTCATCCATTGTAATTGCGTAATTCTATGATTTTTAGTAAATTTATAGACTGTGTAACCATCACAACCCTCCGGTTTCAGAACGTTTCCATCACCCGCAAAAGTTCTCTCATGTCCACTTGCTGTTGATCCCTTCTCCCACCCTGGCCCAGGAACCACTGACAATGCTTTCTGTTTAGAAATTTGTCTTTTCTGGACATTTCATACAGTCGCGTGTCCCTTACTGATGGAGGCACGTTCTGAGAAATGTGTTGTTAAGTGATTTCATCATTGTGCAAACGTCACAGAGTGTACTTACACAAACCTGCATGCTATAGCCTCCTACACACCTGGGCTACGTGGTGCTAATCGTACAGGACCACCGCCACATCTGCGGTCTGTCATCAACCAAAACGTGGTTACGCAGTGCCTGACTGTACATGGAATCATATAATGTGTCATCTTTTACGTCTGACTTCTTTCACTTAACATAGTGTTATTGAGGCCCATGCATTTCGTAGCATGGATCAGTAGTTTGTTCCTTTTTATTGCTTTGTATTGTATTCCAGACTTCATTTATCCACTCACCAGTTCACGGCGTTTGAATGGATTCCAGCTTTA